TCTTTTCAGCAATCATTCACTTGGTTAACTGAGAGAAAACACAAAAATTATTTTCTCATTTCTCTCTTTTGCATTTGCAGTCCAGAGCATTGCATATACTCAGTCAAAAATGTCACTTCTGCACAAAATTTTATGCTTAGCTTCAAAATTATCTCAATGGTATAAAAAGAAAGTAGCAACTCATTTATGGGCAGCACAGTTTGGCTGAGGTAGGAACTTCTGTATCCTAAACTTAACTTTAGGACTGACTGGCTGCATGGCTTCTGGAAAACCATTTGATCTACTCTTTTTTCCCATACTGCCCCACTGTATGGCCACTGATTTTGTGAAAGAGACTTCGCATGTGTGTGATGGTCCAAAGCTGTGAAATGATATCTATAGATGGCATTGTGTGTGACCATTTCACATACATAATTGTCCCACATCATTCCTGGATGCAAAGTACCATTGGTTTAAAATGGATATGCCTAATGTCCAAATACTATTTAGAAATGGCGGTATCTGGAGGAGGAGGAATATTTCTTTTTGTTTGTCATGACAAATAGTAAATGCCAATAGTAATGCAAATGTGAATAATGCAAGTAATGTAAATGCAAACAGTAATTACTAAAGATGTATTTTACAGATGAATTCTCATGCAGCTGAAAGGCGTTAACTTTTTATTCCTCTCCTCCAACCGAACCAAACCTCTGCTATGAACTTATATTTTACAGGCATCATGTATTTTAACAGAGTGGTGTTAAAACAGGCTACACCAAACATGAGCACCAAGCACCACTACCACCATTGAACAGTGCAACTGAGGTAGGTTCAGGTAGTGTTCCCCAAGTCACCCAGCAAAGTTGGGGTACCAACTTCAACTGTGGTACTTGAAGCCACAGTCCCTGCCCCAGTGCTACCTTGCTCTAATTTCTGTGGTCCCTCCTCCAGAGCGTCCCTCTTTGGCTTCCATAAACCTGATTTTCACGTAGTTACACAGAAAACTGTGAGCAGTGATAAAAACTCGCTGCATTGATCTCAAAGCTCTGCCTGCAAGTACCATAGGCCAGTGATATTGGCAAGTGGTGGCCCTGATGGAGCTCTCACCCATGTGCTTATGTGCTGCTCTTCAGAGTCATCTCAATCACATCTTGCAGTTCCTGAGCCCCAAGGCACTAAATACCCAGATTTTTTTCAATTGCTTAGTCATTCCTAATATCCATATCACAGTATAGACGCTGAAAAAGACAGAACGAAAGACCGAAAGAACTGCAGAAAATAGAAACTTAACATAAACTAAAGGAGGTTGATCTGTCCTGAAGTGAAATGAAACTGCAAGCTAAACACAGAGCTGGATATAAAGTTGTCACCGAGGTCCCCTCTCCAAGGGCAAAGAGGATTACTAAGAAGAGAGGCACCTAAAGGCCTTCTTCAGGTGCTAGCACAATGTATTTATTACACAAATGTAACTACAAATCACAGCTCCATAGCTGGCCAAACCTTTGTGCAAAAGGGCTGGAGCTTCCCAAAGTGATGACCATGAAAGACTAAGGTGTGCTTGTGGACTGTGCTCCCACCCATTGGCTGTAGACAGAAGATTACAAAATGTGCAAGTTAAAACATTTCTGTAAGTGTAGTGCAATGATAAAACGGACCATGCACAAAACAATATTCCTTTCTATTATACACGATCAAGCTCTCCTATTATTTAGCAGTAAAGAAAAGATAAAAACAATAAGACGCTTCTCTTCCAGAAAGTCTTGATTTTTCCCATTCAAGAGTGAGCTGTGATGCATGCATCATTAATTTCTATGCAGAAAACATTGTTCACTTCAACCAGCAATTAGTGGTAACATTTCTATCCTGTGCAGTGATGAGATTTTTATGCTAATCATTATACAGCAGTAAATTAATCATTGGGCACATTTAGATGGTATGTATATTTCATGAGACAGATATAGATATCAAGATCAGCTTGATATTTACTGATGGTAAATGGAAGTGTCTCATATCGTTATGGGGGAAGCATACTAACTAAATATACAGCCAGAGATGCTTGCAGTGTAGCAGGAGCAGCAGCACCACTTCATCTCTTGTTCCAGGAAATAGCTCTTTTTCTTTGTTTTTAATTATTTTAAGGGAGGTAAAAATCTTGTGGGATCACATAGAACTGAATCATTCAAAGACACAGTGAAACTCCAATAATGTCTTGACACCTGAAGGACAAAAGCACCAACACCGCTTCCTACCCTGCAATTCTTCTTTTATTACTGGCAAAATTACTGCCATTCCATTATGCAGTATTGAAAAGAGACTTTTCATCAGCATTTGTGCTATGGTCTAGTCAGGTAAATGAATTATGCATCCGACTCGTCCCTCTGTAACCGCGTCTGAAAGCTTTGAGTTGTAGCAAAAAGGAAGTCTAGCCAGGGGCCTCCCTCCTTCTCAGCAGATGCAAGAGATTTGTAATACCTTGAGGAAAATGTTTATTTGAAATTTAAATTTTTGACATATATTTAAATACTACCACTGCTTTTTCAACTCTCAGTTCACAGATCTTTGCAGGCAAAAAGCCGTCTAGTCCAAAGCTGATAGTGTTATGTTGTATTAGAATGAAATGTACACATGGTCCCTTTATCTTCGAATGTCGTCAAGATATTTATGAAAAGCACAGATTTATGGCAGCTGACCCTGACAATAACAGTAATGAAAATAATATCCTCAGCTATTACTTTCTCAACTGAAGTTGAGAAAGATACTCAAAGACCAAAGGCAGCACACTAGTGAAAAGCAAGGTTATGCTGACATACCTGGATTGCTTCAGAACTGCTCTTGAACTGAAAATTGATCAAACAATATATGTTTAATTGCCACCAATTGAAACAGCATAATTGTTACACTGAGCAGGGATAAAGATGAGCTACTACACAGAGGGTACAAAATCCCATTGGGAAAAGGGAAGAAATTTATTATCTTCTCTTAGTTTATGGAAATTTCTGAGAGAGGTGCATCTGAACAGGCAGGTTACCAGGACAACACTGTGAAAGGCTGAATTTTTAGGTCTGAGAATTACCAGATCAGACAAAAAAGAACAGGTGAATCAAAATGACAAAGTCTTATTTTGATGAAATCTGATTTTCTATGTAACAAAAATCTTTTTCAATTTGAGAACTAAAATATTTTTACTTTCACTATTTCTATAAAAATACGATGTCAATTTTGATTTTTGAACATTTTTTTCCAAATCCACTCTGCAAAGCTTCTCTCTAGAACTGTGTATCTGAAGTTGACGTAAAGGTTAAATTTTCTTCAGGGGCATCATAGTCTTAATTTTTATGGCCTACCATCTATCTCATGCAGCCTAGGAGCCAACAAGCACATCTCGGGATGTGCTGTGGTGCCACGTGCATACTGCAGTGTTCTCCTCCACTGCAGAGAGTATTCTTGACTCCAAAAACTCTCCATTTGACTTCAAGCAATTAAGGATTTCATTCGCCAATGGAGAAAAACACAGACAAACTCAGTTTCCAAGTGAGCACAGGTTAAGATTTCTAACAATAAACATAACTTCACAGAGAACTCTCCTGAATTTCTGAGGTACAAAGTGGCATACACTGAGAGAAAGAGATGTGGAATGCAGTTCAGGAAACTGTCAGTAGCATTCTGTGAATGTCAGGCTGGATTTAGAGGCAGCTGAGGATCTGTCAGTGGTGAACACTACTACTATCTATGCTCTTGTCAAGCAAATCAGAAAAAACAAGTGTAGGCATCATGCCTTGAAAGCAGAGGAACTTTTTGCTAACTATGTTTCAATACTGTTTCTTTAAAAAGAAAGAGCAGAGTATCTCCAGGCAGCTTTTATGTTCCTGAAATGATTTGGAGGGAAAACTGAAATATTTAATAGATTTGATGTAAAACCGCTATTATCATGGTAAATGGATATCATGGTTATTAATTCTATAAAAATGAATGGCTCATCACTCAGCTATTGCTCAGCTACAGAACTGATTAACAGCACCAGGGACTGCTTGCCTTTTGGTTTAATACTCCATGTTGTTTGTTACGTTAGTTGTTTGGTGTTGATTATATTGCAGCAGTTATTCCCATCAGTAAGTTTGCTTGTTGTAAAATTTAAAAGCACAAACAAGGATCACGTCACAAAAAAATGAGCAGAAATCATATGGCTTAAAATATTCCCTAACACCGCTTGTATCTTCTCTATAGATACCCCTGAAACTCACCTCAATATTCATCACCTTTGAGCAGGAAAAAAGACCAAACCCAAAACCCAACAAAGTACAACAAGGATCAGATTCCCAGATTAATCGCTCTGTCACAGTGCACATGCATCAGCATCATCTTGCCTGGCTTCCAGAAGGGGAGAGCATCCCTGCAAGAGAGGGGCAGCTGGGAATGGCTTCAAGACCCTGAATCAAAATCTGCTCTTGCACTTTGTTTGGATATCAGCTGGCAGGTAGTGAAGGTCACAAATCACAGCTGTGATGCCGTTTCTGAAACATCATGGCATTTCAGAAAAAACCTGACGTACGAAATTCTCTGCATGTCACTATGGTGAGTCTTCCATCAGAAAGAAAAGCACAGGCACAGCTTTCCATGGGGAGGTGCCTGAAGAAACACAAGAGAGCTGGAAGTTCTGCGGTTGGCTTCCTATCCTTGGTGTCCTGGTTTCTGAGTCTCGCATGAAGTAACCTTTAGTAAGATTTAACAGCGGCAGCTGAATGGAGTATCAAAAGCCGTTATTTGAGCATTTTGACCATTGTTTGACCATTTTACCATATATTACCACTAAACCAGCCAAGACTAATTTGTCCTACAACCTGGAAACTGTATAGAAACTACAGTACTATCTTAAGAGAGTAAAAAGAAAGGGCTGTTTTATTAATATTACATCATTCTAATGCATAGAGTGAAAGACAGAAAACAAACCCACAAACATGTACACTAACTCAATACATTAATTATTCTGATGCAACAAATTTGTTTGGCTATTATATCATAGTCAAAGGGGTATCATACTGTCATGAGAAGTTCAAAAAGTACTTAGAAGAAATTTTAAGTGAAAATTACAACTGGAAGATATTAAAACAGCAAAAAGAAACAGGAATCTGTAAAATGGCATGTGCTTTGAGGAAAACAGATCTAATAACGCACAAAATCAGGGTGAAAAATGGAATTTCCCACAGCTGTTGACCACATGCATTTGTGGACTCACAGTCCTTACTGAAGAACAGAAATCTTCTTTCTTGCTGTTTTATTACCTTGGCAACATCTCCTCCATGTCAGCAATTACATAGGAGACAACAGTCCAAACAGCAGCACAGAGATTCATCTGGTTTGGATCCTGAACTGTCATCGTGTCCCCTTGAGAATGATGAAACCAGAAGTATTTACTGAGGTCATCACGCAAGCTGGCACCTACAGAGAAAAATGGGCAATATTCCATTATAGGAATACAAATATTTAAACAGAAATGTAAACTTGAATCCATTCCTGGGCTGTTTATGATTAAATCCACAGGCAGCTGTACAGAGTTCCATACAGTAAGTGCACAGAGCAGTGGCATGTGCAGTTTGTAGGTTTTAGGTTAATTGACTTGAGTGAGCATGAGGTAGTAAAAACTCACACCGGGGAAAAGCCAACCTTCCCCTGGGAGACTCATTTCCTCAGCAACAGTATACATCCATTTTCCTCTAAGACTACCATAATCCAAGCAGGAGAATCCCTACAGCAACGCCACACGTGGCAGCGCTTACTCTGTTCTTCACCCCACTGCTCCGATGATGTATTACAACTGAGTTATGGATCCTCTCCTTGCTGCTATTTGTGTTGGGGAAAGCTTTGGAATTTGCTTCTGCTTTTGAGCCTCTGTTCATCACAAGGGCGTGCTATTTCAGAGCAGTTTTCTAGATAACCTAGGGTAACCCAGATTGCCCAGGACTACACGATCCTTGCTGTCAGGAGTCCTCATCAGCCAGGGCAGAAGCAAGTTGAGTGAAACCAAAGTTCTTCACATTCAGGAGCAACTGACTCCCTTGAGGGCACACAGGCTGGGAAAGGACTATGCTTCCCCAAGCCACACAGGCTCAGGCAGCACAAATAATGCCGGTGAGGCATCACGCAAGGCCCCAAGGCAGACCAAAGCCAAGAGAAGCAGGAGAAGCTGCCACTCCACCGGGCACGGCAGTGGAAACGCTGGTGGGGATTTTCACCCTGGCTGTTCTCCACCTGGTCCAGTCCCCACGAACTCTCTTGGACTCCCCGTCCCCTTGCAATTTCTTCTCTCCCAGTTCCTTACCTCTGCCTCTTCTTCTCTGGTTTTAACAGCTTCCATCTGCTATGTTTTAATCTCAGCAACCCTCTCATCACAAGACAGCTTCACCCCAAATTTTGAAAACAAGTATTAAGGTGATATTTGCTACCACCACACCGATTCACTGCTTGCGATTCCTTGGCATTGATTCCCTTGGCCTGCCTGCCAAGCTTCCACCTCGCAAACAGGACCCCCTCCTTGCTTGGTCATCCAATCCAGAGAATCAGCACTGCTGTGAATTCACGAGTGAAAGCTACGGGCCCCAGGCGGAAACACAGACTGAGGCTACTCCTAACATGCCACGTAAGAGAGAAAAAAAACCCAGGACTGTTTGATTATAAAGATGAAGTAAATAAATTATTCAGATATTTATTTACGCGCAGTGGAAATCAGTATCAGATGATGAGGGCTTTGATAAACTCATGTGTGCTTGTTAAGACTTACTGTTATGATTTTTCTTGGTTTCCCTGTGACGCCTGAAGTCTTTGAAGAGAATAAAAGCAAAATTTCTCACAGCATAACTGTACATTCCTATAATACATATCTTTTGATCACTTGTATAGCCATTCAGGACAGAGTCCAGCTCTCACTGTGGTTAATAGGCACATTTCGATTGCTGTAATGGGAACTGACTTGGACAATAGCTTGTTTCACTGCTATTTTAGAGAGAAGGAAAAGAAAAGTAATGCATTTTATGTTTCCACCCAAGATGAAGATCCCTTCATAAGAGAGATGATACGCACAAAGACCAAATGCTGTCGCATATGGTTATACAGTATTGTGACTGATCTTATTTTAAGAGGCTCTTCTTGCTCTTAAGAGACTTGTTTGCCACTGACTTCAAGCAATGCAATTCCACAGAAGTCACTGGGTAGGTTACAGGTGCTGAAATATGTTCCAATAAACTTAGCATTGAATTTATGTTAACTCATACTCATTTTTAAAATTTGATTCTGAATTCTTTTAAATATACACAACCATAAAGTGATTGAACTATTCTATAAATTCTTTTCACAGAATCACAGAATCACAGAATAGTAGGGGTTGGAAGGGACCTCTGTGGGTCCCTTCGGCTTTTAACTGATGGACTTCCGCACTACAGACACATTACGAGTTAAGCCACTGAGGCAAACCCATTACAATTTTTTAACACTTTTGTAAGACTCAGGACAATAATTTGTTGCCTGGAATTTGTTGTAGACATTTCACTAATCACAGTAACTACAGATTTAGAAAGCAGCATTTTATCTCTGTGAATGGAACAAGGATAAATACCCTTTGGTTTGTAATGTTTGACTCTTCTGAAATGCTGAAATAGATTAGTTTCTCTAAATTGATTTAAAAAGTCAGAAAATTATCTGACTTTGACATCAAGCAATTACTGTGCAAGAATTCTTGCAGCAAGATATGTATACAGAATATCGAATGGTTCCCAGACCGGCTATCCTCTCTCTTTCACGTCTTGGGCTAGCATTCAAGTCAGTGACCTATGAACATCTTGTGAGATTAAGGAAAAGACCCTAAGAAAGCAGTTTTATTCTATGTAATTAGAAACAAAACTAGAAATCCATGTTCTTGGCTTTAAGCACAAGAACAGTTTACAGCCGAGGGCCCCACGCAAGCCTCTAGACATGAAACACCCTGGGGCACAGATATGACTGCAAGCAATTTTCATGTCTCCTGCCCCAAACTTGGGACTCCTCCATGTTGATGTTAGCTGCCCGGAGATATCTGCGGCTTCCAGAGGTCATCAGGCTGTGACAAGACAGTGAATAGTGCCCTTTAGACAGCAAATGCATCCGGGACTGAGATCAAGCCCTGCAGCTGACAATGAATAGCGAAGTGCTGTGGCACTCTGTGGACTGCAGTCATGTTGGGTTCCCTAAATAAAGTCTGTGGGATCCTACAGTCCCTTTTCTAAAAAAACTAACAGAATCACAGAATCACAGAATAGTAGGGGTTGGAAGGGACCTCTTTGGGTCATCTAGTCCAACCCTCCTGCCGAAGCAGGGTCACCTA